TTCATTTGACACCAAAGTAATAATGCATCTTTAGCTGATTTTGTTTCTGTTGATTCATATTCTTCTATAGTTATATCTTGTATTTGAAAACGAAGGATTATTGTCCATATAAGACCAAGAATTAACGATGAGTTACCATCGACAATATCATGTGCACTAAAATATATGAAAATTCTTCCTTATAGAAGCTATCGTTTTCTAATCTTTTAAGACAAACTCGTTCTCTATTATCGATCAATTAATGAAAGAAGCCTTAGTCTATGTAAACTAAAAGAAAACATGACATTTGAATCAATTCATTGAAGTTCTAAAAGTTACTGGAAGAGAATTTCTCAAGCTTTGTCTACCAATTATCTATATGTAAGTGCCTGTCATTTGTATCTTTCTAGAATAATAAACAAAATTCTAAACTAGTTCTCAAATTTTATCTTTCATAGATTGATTTGTATAAAGTAATTTAAATGAGGCGTACTTCATATTTTCTTATTGAACCAAATCTCCTATTAATTGACCTACACAATTCTGTCAAAATGATTTTTTTTACATACCCAATATTTTCTAAATGAACATGTTGTTCTTGTAAAAACATAATAGCTTTATCAACATTTTCTAAACAATGTATTCGCATTTTTCCTCGTGTTGCTTTAGGTAAACGTTCTCCACTTAAAATTTCTAAAAGACGAATTAAATTTCGTCCATCGCCTAAATCAGTATATAAATCATTAATTCGACAACCAACACGAGTTAAATGTGAATTAACCCATTTTGTAAATGTTTTCTTTTGCACATGACCACGTTCATCAGCTAGAACTTGAATACGTGTTCGTTCGAACATACGTGCCGATGAATTACATTCATCTTGACCATCTAAATCAAAACCAGCTGGTAGTTGATCGAGATTAAATGGAATTTGATCTGGTTGAGAACCATGACCATTAGTATGAGTATGAAGGATACCATTAGCGGTTGCTGCCGACATGTCCAAACTAAATATAATAATATAAATATTGTAACTCTATATATATATATATACAGGGATGTTTATATCATAAAAGAAGATGAGTATGTCCAATAAAGAGTTGATGATATTTAGAATGTGTTCTTGGACAGACAAACTTAATAGATCAATTTGATCTTTTTTTTTGTTTCGCTTTAATATAACTACATAGTTTTAATTATTTATGAATCAAGAAAAAAAAATTCTCATTAATTAGTGTAAGGGTTTGTTTTTCTTTATTGAGCTTACTAAGTTTGTTGTTGATGGTAGGATGCTGTATCGACCATTGCTGCTGCTTCTACTACTGCTGTCTTTATTACATTCTCCTTTTAACGTTAAACAACTCACAATGAATTGTTGGCCTATGTATAGAAGCTATGGTGTATATTCTCTTTTTCTCTTTTCTTTCTATTTCGAGTGTATGCTTTTATTCGCTTGTCCATCGGTCAGACGGTTATCTACAGGGTAAAGAAAAAGAATATCGCTCACATTTTATCTATCCTTGTTTCTACTTGCAGATGTGGTGTTGTTGGTAATCATTTGCGTTCATCGCCGTTCTTCTATTCTTTCTTTCCCGTTCAAAGGTAATAGTGGTGGTGGTGGTGTTGATAATGCCTCTTTTTCTCTCGCGTTCGTCTCGTTTGTGTTCTGTTTGTTTCTCGTTCTTTTTTCTCTCTCTCCCTCGCTGTGTGTCTATTGCTTATTCGCTCTCTCTCTTTAGCTGAGAGAGAAATACTAAATGGTACCACCAAATGATTACTTTTCTAGCTGCTGCACAGCATATTTATTTTTTGTGTCATGGTTGTTCTTTTTCTATCATATAGTTTTTTTTGCTTGTAATAATAGCAATACATTCTTTTATATAAACAATATGTATGAAAGAAACTAATAACTACAAGAAAAGCAGTTTTTTTTATATTAAATGTATTCAATCATTTTCAAACTATTATTTTCTAGTTATACACATGAGATTATTTATAAAGAATGTCGAGAAATATATATATATATATGTATACCCTAGGCTATATGTAGACTTTATAAATGATGATTGATTTTGTATAAATGTTTGTTTTATGGGATCATTATATGAATAATTAAATTAATATTCAAGAAATGAAAAATGTTTTTTAAATATCAAACATAAGATTTTTATCTCATTTATTAATATATTAGAGGCAAACTATGCTTTGTATAAACCACTTTGTTATAGAATAATGCAGCAACATGTTTTTCGGAAATAGTAGCAGATGTTTCGTACAGTTTACTTCCGTTGTATATATTTGCTAGGCGAAACATAGATAGAACTAAGAAGCTCACTATCCTGCATAATTACTTCTCTATATATATGTATTGCTCATACACACATGAAATTGATAGTAGACAAGTATTATTATAGATATGAACAATTTCATATAAAATATCGATATTATCTAGCAAAAGAAGATGATTATTTAGATTTCTGTTATGATAAACGTTACAATATCAGACTCGTTTTGTTCGATAGAAAAAAAAATTTTTAATGAACAGCGTGGGGTCATTCATTATAGAAGTTAAAGTTAATGAAATTGGTGAAATTCTTTTATGCTATTAGTTCAAAGAGAAAAGAATTGATTAATTTCTGCTTGATGGGGAATTACGATATGAAATATTCTTAAGCCTAAATAAAGCTGAATTAATTGAACATACATTCAATAATAAATTAGATTTTATTGTTATCTATTGGACTACAAACTAAATCTATCAGACATCTTAAATGTATATAAATAAAATATCGGCCTTTTTTTTTTATAAAAATCCTATTTTGATTTATATGAATATAAAAATAAATACTAAATAATGATATCAAAACAAGACATTTGATTGAACTATTCGCATCAAATGATTTCTCTTAGGTCAAGTAACTGAATCAATGGAATACAGATATACATATATGCATGTGTATATATATATGTATGTGCTAACAATGTTATAGTATAACCGTTTGACCTTATCTTAAGGCAGACAAAATTCTTACCTTGTTGACGTATTGAACAGCAATGCTAGGAGTATATATTTATTGTGAAAACGAACGAAGAGATAATAATCTAAGATAAGCAATTAAAACAAGTATTGAAAAACAATTTATTCTGTCAAGATACAAAGTTATCTCTCCAATGTATTGATAAAAAACAAATAAACAAATATTTTTTCTGGTTTCTTTCTTTCTTCCTTTCTTTCTTTTATATTCATATTGATTCATTCATCAATTGAAAACCACAAATATCAATAAAAAAAATTTTTTTCATTCATAAATTCTTTTTTTTATTAGTTTTCTAAATTTATTTGAATAAAAAAACGAAGAAATAATTTTTTTTAAATGAACGACATCTATCGTGTTCATTGGTCATTGTGTTTTAAAACGAAAATGAATACAAGTCTTTTTGCTTTTACAGATATATTTTAAAGTTATTAAAGATGGTTCTTCGCTGTGAATTATGTCGTATTGAAGTACCTGATGGTTTGTTAGATAAATTTGATTTATTGATTATCATAGTGGGTTTTTTTTTGTAGAGCATGTTCTAGCTGATCATACGAATGGTAAACGACATCAAGCATTATTGACTGCTCGTGAACGTTTTGAAACCTCACAACAATCAAGTATTTATGTATCGAATATTAAACGTGAACATGATGTAAATCTTCTTAAAGATTATTTTTCACGTTTTGGACAAATAAAAAATTGCTTCATTGATAAAGAAAAAGTTAGTAGAAATTATAAATTTATGACTTTAATAACTTATGTTTATTTTTGAAGCATGTTTATGCTATTGTTGAATATGAAAGTGTTGATTCAGCCAATAAATGTTTAGAATATTCTGAAGAATATAAATTACATGATGGTACACGTTTAAAAGTAAAACAACGTAATCATCATGAATTTAAATCTAAACGAATGTTAATAAGTGAACAAGAATTTTTAAATATTAATAAAGAAAAAGAAATTGAACAACATGGAATTCTAATTCAACTTTTAAACAGTAAATTAACAGTAAGAAATTTTAGTAAATTTAATGTAGATAAAACTATTAAAATTTAGGTTGATGAACAAGCTGAAGCAATTGTTCATCAAGAAAAGATTACAGATGATATATTAAAAATACGAGAAGATTTTTTTAAAGAATTAGAAGCAATGTTTATCAAATATTTTCCAGGTAAGATCTTTAACTATTTAAAAAATATTTTTAATCAATTTATTTCTAGAAGCGAAATTATGTTTAATTGGATCAATGGCTAATGGTTTAGCAACAATTTTATCTGATATGGATTTTGTTCTTATTCTAAATGAGACATATATTGAACCACAACGTATATTATCATCAAATAATAGTGGAGAATCGATGACAATCGATGAAAATAGCTGTAGTAATGATGCAGATATACAACAACATAAGGTATATAAAATAATTAATTTTTATATATTATAAACTGGCAATAAAGAAACTTTATTTTCTTATTTCAATGAATTAGTTTAAACGAAATGCAAGTGATGGATCATCATCTCGATCATTATCACCTCCACTTCCACCAACCTCTCATTCAGCTGATGATCTTTTACAAATGTCTATTCCTGATCGACTTGATTATATTCGTCGTTTACTTCGTTCTTATGCAGCTTATGTATGTAATGTACAACGTATTGCACAAGCTCGTTGTCCAGTTGTTCGATTTTGTCATAAACAACAAAAAATTTTTTGTGAATTATCCATTAATAATCAGTAAGTTTTTTTGATAAAAATTCAAAATTCATTTTTTTAATTTAAATTTTCTATATTAAAGTCTTGCAGTAGCTAATACGGAATTAGTTCGATATTTTCTTTTATTTGAACCTAAATTACGTTCATTATTATGTACAATTCGATTATGGATTAAACAAAAAGATCTTCTTGGACGTGGACATCGATTTAATACCTATACACTTTTCTGGATGATTGTTTGTACATTACAACTCGATAATAAACAATTACCAAGTGTTCAATCATTAGCTGAACGTGCAAGTAAAGCAGCGATTCTGTTTAGAAAACATATTCATCTTTAATTTATGAATTTTGTTTAGATCATAAACGACAATATGGTCCATGGAATTGTTCAATTCCAGATTTAAATCAAATTGAAAGAAATATTTTAGACATTTCTATAGGTAAATAAATACAAAATCGACGTTTTTTATTAGAAAAGGAGTTTAGCATTAGAAAGAAAATATTCGGAGTGATACCAAGAAACTAAATGGAAAGCTATGAATATACAGAAAAGCACCGTGCTAACTAAGACTTCAAATCTGCCATTCTAGCAACAAAGTTCAGTTCGCATTTATCACAAAACTTGCGTCATATTTAGAGTCGTACCTAGCCATGCAATTCGCTGTCTTACAGAGATGGGCAACTCTGGAGTTGGAGTGGAGTTGTTCGTCTCTGTTGTCTTAGTCTCATCTCATGAACTGTTGTCTATTCTTGTTCCGTCTTACTCTACCCTATTTTGAGATACTCATATCCTACGAATGTTCTTATATCTCTGTCATATTCTGTATATTTTAGAACAATTACTTCATAATTTTTTTAAATTCTATTCAACATTTAATGCAAGTCAACATGAATTATCACCATGGACAGGTAAATTTGAATTAAAAACTTCAACGACAAATCTGTTTTCAATATCTGATCCATTTGAACATGATCATAATTTAACATCTCATATATCACAAACAAATTGGTTAAAATTTCAAGAAGAATGTTCTTTAGCAATTCAAATTCTTGATGAATCGGCTAAAAAACGTCAAAATAAATCATGGGGTCTATCATTAATTTTAACACGTAAATCTTTACCACAAAAGAATTTCGTTCATGAACCACATTATCATCAATCACAATCAATGAATACAATCGAATTTGTTGTCAATCAAATAGATGAAGAAGAATTTCAATTACATGTTGAATCTATTCTTAAAGATATTTTATTATTTGAACAAATTAATTATGAAATGATCAGTAAAAAACGACCAGCAAGTCCATCCGTTGAACTAACACCCAATACTTTAGCTGAACAATTAGATGAAACACTTTCAGCTAAACGTCGTCGTACAGATGATGATGATGGATATATATCAACACCAACAACAGGTATATCTTATTCAAACGAAAAAATTTATTTTCAAGTAAATTATAAATTGTTTTTTATTTTTTTTATAAATATTATTTTGTTTTGTAGGTTAATTATCGAACATGGCAAGATCGACGTAAACATAAACGAAGTATTGAAAATGAACATAAAGATATATCTACATTTGAACGTGAAAAATTAATTAGTTATAAATTAAAAGACGATAAAGATCATCATTTAGAAAAACCTATTTATTTATCAATGGATATTAAATTATTACCATTGATTGATGATTCGAATAAAAATAAAGCACAAATTCGTTTTGAATTTCAAACAAATCAACAACATCAATTATTTGTTGATCTTACTCATTTTCTTACGTTATATTTACCGAAAATGTTTACAAATCAACCAGCTCATTGAGCAACAAACATCAACTGGTTTCTAGTCATTCCTTGCGTTTTTTTTCAAACATTTTTATTTTGTTTTATTCAATAAAACGTTTTTTCTCGACAGAAAAATTAGTTTTCAATATGTATCGTACATAATATGTACAGAGATTCGATATTCATACTAGTAGACGTACTTGGCATTGTCCAGGAAGTTGAAAGAGTAGGTTTATATGTGTGTGGGTGAGAAATGATAACAACATCTTCTACCACATCCACACTCATCTCTACTGATTATAGTTAGATGTGTAAAGGATATTTTATTTTTACTTTCTATTATGAAATAGAGAGTAAACATCTTAGTTACCATTCATTTTTTTGTTTTAAATATATTCAATTTATTTGTATATAATGTTATTATTGGATCATTTTTTTATTATTCATTTAATGATGATATGTATGACCATACAAGAAATCAATTCAGTAGCAAATTCATGTTTTGATTTCTATCACGCAAACCTCAAACAACAATCTGACTGCCACGACTATAGACACAATTTTTTCAGAGATGATATACCCGATAAATATGTAAATTGTATCCGTTGTTCTATTATGCTTAGTGATCGGATAGAAATAAATAATTGTGCAAAAAATTATCAATGTGTAATGTTCAATTTTTATAATGATACGTTGCTTGAACCATTTGTTAGGAAACTTCGTCCTAAAATTCGAAATTTATTTCCAACAGGAGTGCGAACATCACACAAATTTCATCTCATGATAAGTATAGAATTTTATAGCATCACACAAGTTACAGATCAATATATTAAGTCAACAATAAATGTGTATTTTCCGGAATTGGTCATATGGATAATATTTGCATTGCAGTCAACAACAGTAAAACCGCCTGTGATTGCAAACTATTTTTCACCCATTAATTTTTATCAATTGATAATAGATGTTCCATGTGATTATGGTATGGGCTTTACTGAGTATAGCATACATGGCGCCAACTATACAGGCATTCCAGTAAAAACTGAAATATGTGTAACCATCGGATCTACAAAACAGGTATTTTGATACAATTGCTATCATCATGAATAATCAAAATACTTTCTTTCCAACGAGCCATAGCTTTTTTCCAACAAAACATGAATATCATTTTTTACGAAACAAATAACATATTTCAGTGGATATAGATTTATATATCTATCACACTATTGTAAATATCGACCACAGTGATATTGCAATACTATATTTACATCGGTCATGTTAATACCAATAACAAAAATCATAGTAAAAAATACTTGCAAATCTACAACAACAACGAAGTGGAATATAAAAGCTAGCAAGCCTAAAGCAATAAAAAGTCGTTAGCTTACTCTTTATAAGATTAAGTCATAAAACACAATCGAGTTGATAACTTAAATTATCTCTAAGAAGATTCTCTATTGTTATTTGCAGTCTGTGACACAATCTATGACATTATTCTGAGCTGCCTAACACCTCGGAGAGGGTAAAGAAACAAATTTCTATCTCATATACTTCGGCACTGTCTTTAGACCCTGTCTGACAATGAATTTAAAACAAATGTAGCTACACAAACAAAAAAAGCAAAATCAGCGACAAAACGAACAAAGTCAATAAACAAAGTAATAACAACAGAGTCCACAAGAATAACTACGATTACCACAACATTATTACCAAAAATTAAGACAATGACAACAAAGTCTACAAAGATAACTACAATCGCAACAACAGCATTGTCAAAAATCAAGACAATGATAGCAAAGTCTGCGAAAGTAACCACGATCACAACAACAACCTTACTAACAACTCAGACGACGACAACAGCGTCTACGAAGATAAGTACGATCACAACAACACCCTTACCAACAACTCAGACAATAACAACAGCGTCTATGAAGGTAACTACGACAGTAGCAACAACTGAAATCATGACAACAGAGTCTACGAAGATAACTACAATCACAACAACAACATTACCAACAACTCAGACAATGACAACAGCGTCTACGAAGATAACTACGATTACAACAACAACTGAGACAGCGACAACAGCGTCGACGGAGATAACTACGACCACATCTACAACACTACCAACAACTGAAATCACGACAGCAGAGTCTACGAAGATAACTACGACAGTAACAGCAACTGAAACCATAGCAACTGAGTCTACGAAAGAAGCTACGATGTTAACAACTATATTTCCAACAACTCAAACAATGCCAACAGCATTTACTGAAATATCTACGACTACAACAACAGTATTACCAACAAAAACAATGGCAACAAGTATATTTACGCTACTTGAAGTGATATCAACCACAAGTAAAGCAGATATTCAAGATACAACCTTAATAGAAAAGAGTTCGTTAACAAAGCTTGATACAACAACGGATATGACACCAGGAACATTCATGTTTACTTCTGCTCTGTCAACAGTTGAAAACATATCACCATTAACAATGACACAGATAACACCAGAATCCACTGAAAAAATGATGCATTATATAACAAATGTATCTACAGTCAATATGACAACCACTCATTTACTGAAAACAATTCAGCTAATATCATCAACAACTAGTAATAAAGTAACAGTCAGAAAAAATATCATACCGTTTACTATTATGACAAAATTAATATCAACAGCAATTCCAAAATCAAAACCTATTTCTGATAAAACTGAAGCTTCATCATTCTCTTGGTCTACATCAACTAAACTATCACAAACATCTTACAATCCTGTTACTTACCTTACTTTTGGCATACCTATTATACTTTTATACTTACCAATGATGATTTGTCTTGCGTTATCTGTTTATTATCGTCGAAAAAATCAACGTTTAGCTAGTAATAAACTGAATACTCTTTCAGATTCAGCTAGTACAATTACCTACAGTGATATGAGTAGTAATTCAGATCAATCTGCTAGTTTATCATATACAACAGACACATTTTCATTGATGCCATCAACACAAGACAAAAATATTGAATCTTTAAATAGATTAAACATAAACCAGAAACGTATGTTTGATGATACAAACTTTTAAAGATTTTTTACGAAATTAACGACTAAATCTATATCCGAAGATTCGTATATCTGATATTAAATAAATAACAAATTCTTTTTTCTTATCTAATCAAGGGTTCATAATATTCGAGAAAAATACCAAGACAATAACATTCATTACAAAATAGTCAATCATTAAAATAAACACATTTCATTAACGAAAAGTTTTACATTTATTTATACCATATTT